AAAGAAACCATGGCTCGGGTCAGGTGCACACAAGTCCTCAAATGGACATCGCTGCTCTTTGACACCTTAAAGATGTCTCATGCTGCTGATTTGCTCAATGCAATATGTCCTTGGACTTCTCGATGGCTCTTTCCGTGAGTGCTGAGGGTGGACCCAAGCAACATGAAACCCTTCAGAGCTTCCCTCATTTCGCTCTTAATCACGATGCTGTCCGTGGACCTCGAGAAGATGTGGGGTGTTCTTTACATTGAGCTGTAATCCTCACTGAAGGCTGCAGTCCTTGAACTTCGTCAACAAGTGTGTCAACTTGGGTGGGAAGAGATGGGCAAAGACCAGCCTCTCAAGCAGGTCACAGCCTGAGGACCTCCTCTTGGGGGTGTGGCCTATTTGCTATCTGGGGGACATTGTGGAGAACTGATGGGCTCTTTCTCCATCCGGCCGGCCAGATTCCTGAATCTAGGTGCCTGGGACCGGGACTGGCAGCTACCACGTGGCTTGCTGACCCTTGAGAGCTGTCAGCGGTTTGCCACGTTCCCTTCCTCAGATCCAGTAGACTGATCTAGTCTTACTGCTTCCGTTATCATTTCCCTGGTTCATTGGGGTCGGTAGCTGCATGAGTCGATAGGTTTCCAGCTAGCATCGATCCGTGGAATGGAGTTCAACTGGGCTTGCCTGCGCTGCAGCTATGAGGATTGCTTTCTTGGTATATGATTCTTTTGGGTATATATATATGTGTGTGTGTGATTCTTTCGGATATATATATATATGATTCTTTCGGATATATATATATATATATATCTGGTTTTGTTTCTCTAGAAAACCCAGCCTAACACGCTCTTCTAAATTTCTTGGCATCGACGAGTGTGTGTTAGCTTGCTAAAACATTTGTTGTTCCGCCAACTTCCGGATTCTTGTTTTTCACTAATGCTTGGACTTTGTCAGAACTTCAGTACCATCAGTTCTAGATCCTAAGCTATCTGGAAATGATTGAGCATCGGCCAATTCTTGCTGGTAGAGTGACTGTGTATTCCTTCCATGTTCTTTGATGCTTCCTAGATGCTGGGTTTTGCCCCTACAATCCTTCCCTGCTGAAACGCTGTTGTTGGGAGCCGTTCAGTCGGTTCAGGCGGTTCCAACTGACAGCGACCCCTACGCACGACAAAACCAAACCTGATCTGCTCCTGCGCCAGCGTCACGATCATGGCTGTGTTTGAGCCACTGATGCAGCTGCTGTGTCAAGCCATCTTGTTGAGCGGCTTCCTCTTTTCTCTTTTTGCTGCCCTTCTACGTTATCACGCACGATGGCCTTTAGGGACTGCAACTCCAGCCTTGGACTTTCGTCTTTTGTTCTTTCAGCTTGGGATGTGCTCTGACCTGACCTCCTTTTCGCCCTTCGACTCCCAGGTCATTGCACATTTAATGATCATAGTTGGCTTTCTCTTCTCCAGCTTCCCTGCAACATCTTCTATTCAGCTATTTTATTTCATCATGTCTTTGACAGCACCGTGTTCAAGAGCAAGTTTTACAACCTCTTTGGAGCCTAAATATCCACTTTGATGTTTTCGTTCCCCTTTGCCTTTTTAATGACCTTTCGCTTTCTTCACGTATGGTGTGAAGATGCCCTCCCAAAGCTCACGAGGTCTCTGTCATTAGTTCCAAGGGTCAAAGGTGCTCTTGAGATGTTCTTGAAATTCGGGGGCCGGGGGGGGGTGGGGAGGTGGTCAAGATGGTATTTTGACACTTGGTGACCTGTTTTAGTTTTAACTGGAACATCTACCTGAGCAATTGATCATCGGACCCACAGTTGGCCCCTGGCCTTGTTTTAGCTGATGACGTTGAGCTGCGCCATTATCTCTTCTCAACAGGTATAGTCGGTCAGACTCTTGTGTGTTCCGCATATACAATTGCTGTTTTGTTTTTGGAAAACAGAAGATATGGACAATGACTGTATGGTCAGTCATGCAAAATTCTGTCATACCATGTCCGGCTTCATTTCTATCAGCAAGCTCATATTTTCCAAGTGCTCATCTTTCCTCTCCCCACCCACCTTCAACTTTTGCATTTCAATGACCAGTAATTATCAATACATCTTGGTTACAGGTGTCATAAATGTCAGACTGAAGAAACTGGGAGAATTCTTTGATTTCTTTATCACTAGCGTTAGTGGTTGGTGCATAAACATGGATAGGAGTTGTAGTAACTGGACTTCCTTTTAGGAGTATTGATGATATTCTATCACAGCATCACTGGAATTCCAGATCTTAAAATCTTCTCTTTGAAGAGGAATATGATTCCATCTTTCTGTGCCATTCCTGTATCGTAGACCATGATCTTTGGAACTCAAAGTGAAGTGCACAATTTTTTAATTATTACAGACTCCAATTTACTTTTTTCCCCCTATCATGCACCATGTTTTTGATATCATAGCTAAGAAATCATTGCCTAACCTTCTGCACAAATATTTATGCCTGTGATCTCTTCTCTGAGTATTCTAGTTTTAACGAGGTGAATGTGTGTGTGTGTCTCAGCACCATTGTTGAAAAGACTCTCCTTTTCCCTGTCAAAAATGTGTTGACCATGAATATAAGTGTCAATTTACAGACTCTGCATTCTGTCCTACTGGTCACATGTCTATCCTTTTGCCAGGACAAACTGTCTTTACGACTATGGCTTGATTACTCACAGTCTGGGCACCGAAGTCCTTCTCACTACTGTCTTATTGCCCAAGATGATTTCAGCTATTCAGGAGTCTTTACATTTCCATATGGACTTTCAAATCATCTCGTTAACTTCTGAAAAGAATCAGCTGGGGGTTTTAATAGCATTTATGTTGGATCTATAGACCAATTTTCAGAACACTGGCATCTTAACACTGAGCATTCTAATCCACGAACGTTCTCTCTCCCTCCATTTAGTTACTTCTTGTTTAGCTTCTGCCAGCAATCTTTCCTAATTTACAGTATATAAATCAAGTACTTCTTTTAATCAGTGCTGTTAAATGTATTACTAGGTAGTTTATTCTTTTTATGCTAATGTGAATTGAATTGTTTACTTCATTTAGGGCTGTTCATCACTGGCTCACTGACCTTCGTACATTAGTTTTGTCTCCTGCAACCTTGATGAACCTATTGGCACAGGTAGCTGTGTGTGTGTGTGTGTGTGTGTGTGTGTACTCCTTGGAACTATGTACACACACAGTCACATTGTCTGTGGATGAAGATCGTTTCACTTATTCTTTCCCAACCTGAATGTCTTTTACTTCCGTTTACTTGGCTGCCTACCCATCGAGCACCTGCAGCATCATGTTGAGAGAGTGTCTTTCACCATTAGCCATGATGTCTGCCGTAGGGTTTCCATGGTGTTCTTCAGTGCCGTTGAGTTGGCCCCAACTCAGAGTGGAGCTATGAACAACAGAAGGAAACACGGCCCGGTCCTGGACCATCCTCACAGTTGTTCGGTCTGAGCCCATGGTTGCAGCCACCGTGTGAATCCATCTCATCGATGGACCTTCCTTGTCGTCCTTCTCCAGGGACTTGTCTTTCCTGACAACATGTCCCAAGTCCATGAGACGGCAGCCTGTTTACTAAGTTGAGGAAGTTCTCTTTCATCCCAGGTGAGTGGAGAGGGGGAGTTGGATTTTTCAGAAGGCCCTGCTGCATCGACTGCGATGATCATGCTCCTCGGTCCTTTGTTCTAATAGAGAGTCGCGACATTACTTTTTTGTTTGTCAAGTTCAGTCAACGTTGTATCTGTCGGCTAAATCCCAAATTGCTCCTAGCCTTTCATCTTT